GGTTTGAAGAGCATTCAAAAGCAATTTGCCTTCAGCTTTAATTGGAAGACTGTGATATTGAAATACCTTGTTTCTTTTGCAATTTAAGAGCCATTAAAAACGGATCAGCTTGGTTTCCCAGCAACAAACTGTGATCCTTTCAAAGGATGTGAAGATAAGAATTAGTTGGAAATATACTGTATTCGTGTTTGTCATGATTTGTTTATTACGATGTCGTGAGCCGTGGAAAATTAATGCAGATGGTTCACAACACCACATGACCTACGGCTCGTGCAATTTTGAGAACTTTCAAAACATCACTCGTGCCCATAAATCACGAAATGCACTCGCGTTCATACGATTTCCGATACAAAGAGCCAAACACTGTGCAAACTGTCGCACATCATAAGAGCGCAAGGCAACATTAGCTAAAAATAGATACGACTTTGTTATAGGATATGGACAAAATAGATGATCTTTGAAAAGTCAATAGAAAGTAAACAGTGCATTGGTCCATATTGCAAACAGATAAAAGTCGATAGAAATTGATGTTATTTCATTTTATTTCGATTATCAGTATCACTCTAATCAATTTCATTCAATTTCTCAAAAAGAAAAAGAGCAATCGGAGTTGAGAACCAATAGACAAGGTCAAGCCACAAAACCTTTCCTTCAAGTATCATGCTACGAGAAAATTTACTCTATCACTGAACCAGACATTGCGGCGCCCAATAATAAAAAAATGGAGCTCTTATCGTATAATACCAAAACCACGTATGTAGATCCGTATGGTGCGTTCGGACAAAAGTGCATTTGTCCGCATTTTTGCAATCTGTCCTATTTTTTCCTTCATAAAACAATATATCAGTGACGCACTCGCTTGCTTTAAGGGTGTCATTGACATCCTTTGTTTCTGACGAAGAAACTTAGGGAAACACAATAGCATCCATAAACAAATCAAATTCTAAACCTACGGTGAATATAAATTAAAAGCAGTTCATGATTTATGAGACTAATTGGAAAGCTAGTTAGCTCTCTCGAAAAGATAAATCTCAAAACTTCAGCCAAGATAACTCGTGACAGCTGGCTCTTGAATCAGGAACGCTGTGACCTAACCTTTCAGATGATTGATTGGCAACAGGAATTTTCAAATCAAACCGATCATTATACAGCATTAAGAGGGCTGTGAGCACCTCTTAAAATAGCACTCCTTATTAATTGTCGGAAATATTTTGGGACAACATTATCTTCTCCACCTCCGCATTTAAAACTAGGAACTATCGCAACTTTGTTGACGCATTTTCTCAGGCCAGCAGTGATATAGTCAACAGGGGAAGGTTATATTTCTGAGCGCTCTGAAATCTGTGCGACGCTGGAGAAATGGATGAAGCCCTAATAAAGTCAGCACCAGATTCAAACGGCATCTGGAAAGAGCCTGCTAGCTTGATTGGAAAACTGGTAAGCCTGTGTTGGTTAATTTCAGAAATGCCTGTATGCATGAAAACACTTCATTCTACACCTGTTAATGTCAGTTTCTCAATATCAAGGCCATCAAATGGCGAGCTGCGCTAAAAGTTGTCGTCTTTTCAGGCTACTTTAAAATTTACATACAACAGGGCAGTAAAAACACCTATAAATTAAACTAAAGTATCTATAGTTTTAAAAAAAACTGGTGATAAATTTCGGTTTTTTAAGAAAATTTAGTTGTAGAAAGTTTGATAAGAGTTTGAAAAGCTCCAAAGTAATTGTTAATTCTCAACTCAATTAGTGAATATGTTTTCAAGTGTAGAAGATGGATTTAGAATACCGCCTGACATAAGAGTAATAAGATCATAGAGCTCCGATT